AGCTCCTCCAAAGCACTCTTCCGACTCACAGACCACTTATAGCTCCTCCAAAACACTCTTCTGACCTACAGACCACTTATAGCTCCTCCAAAGCACTCTTCTGACCTACAGACCACTTCTAGCTCCTCCAAAGAACTCTTCTTACCTACAGACCACTTATAGCTCCTCCAAAGCACTCTTCTGACCTACAGACCACTTATAGCTCCTCCAAAGCACTCTTCCGACCTACAGACCACTTATAGCTCCTCCAAAGCACTCTTCTGACCTACAGACCACTTATAGCTCCTCCAAAGCACTCTTCTACCTACAGATCACTTATAGCTCCTCCAAAGCATTCTTCTTACCTACAGACCACTTACAGCTCCTCTAAAGCACTCTTCTGACCTACAGACCACTTATAGCTCCTCCAAAGCACTCTTCTTACCTGCATACCACTTATAGCTCCTCCAAAGCACTCTTCTTAACCTACAGACCACTTATAGCTCCTCCAAAGCAATATTCTGACCTACAGACCACTTATATCTCCTCTTTCTCCTCCAAAACACTTTTCTAACCTGTAGTTCACTTATCTCACTCTTTGCTCCTCCAAAAACACTCTTCTGATCTGTTAATCAGTAATCTGAACTACTGCATCCCGGAAACTGTGCCCAGAATGCGATTTTACTTCTCCAGGAGTGCACTAACGTCTGGTAGTTGGACTTCAACCCCCCTTGATTCTCAAGTTTGTAGTATGGCAACTATATATTAAGTCTACATGTATGTATGTATGTATGTGTATGCTAATAAGAGAAAATAAACATTAATAAAAATTGTTTAATTTGTTAATTCTGATGCGTCTAAACATACTTGTAATTGTGTTAATTTGATCCCCCAACGACTTAAACTACAGTTTCAGAGATATGGTTAACGGGTTTATGAAAATTATTCGTGTATCGTTTGCATGCAAACCCTGAAACTCTATCATATTTTTAGAATTATCATTGAAGATGAAAGACATAAATCAAGGTGTAATCTTGACTAGGATAAACTATAAACATTTATAAAGGTCAATCAACATATTTTTTTAACAGTTCCACTCATCTGTAATCCTAAGTATGGCAAAGTGGTATCATTGCCTCACAAGAAAGCCCCAGTTCCCCGGTGGCTCTGCTGTAAGCTTGAGGGGTTTATAACGTTAAAGTTGAGGGTTCGAATGACCTTGAACGACCCCAGTGTTATTGTCACAGAGCGGTGCACTGCAGTTAATTTTTTTTTTTCTATACTTCTCCAACTTTGAATTATTTGCCTGCCAGAAGACTTCTCAATCATTAGCTGTAAACAGATTGAAAAGCGTATTCCTTCCAGTAATATATGGAATTACAATAAGTTTACACTGACCATCATTTTTGTTCTGTTCTGAACAATCAAAAGTTTTTGGTTAGGTTTTGTACTTGCAAAAATCGGATCCCATATTTAACGATCTGAATGAGTAACTAACGTGAGTGTCAGTAACTTGTATATATAAATTTTTGTTTGTTTGTTTGTGTTATTACTCAACGTTTTATATCCTTCTTTGACACTTCGGAGTTCACTGGATAACTACTGTGTATTTGATTATCTTTGATCGACTTTAATAGCCAACCCCTTATCAAAGTGTAATTTATATATTCGTTAAAAAAATATCATTATTGCCACCAGAAAATAATGTTGTAGGAACGCTTACGACGACGAGAACCATGGTACATTGCGGCTGGCATGCGCGTACAGCTGGTACACAACACACAAACTAGCCGATCACGTGAGTAAATGACATGTGTCGTTTTAAAAAAGTTGTTTGCTGGTGCATCTGGTGAAGTAAATAATTTTACGTAGTCTCATTTTGTTGGCACATCACAAAACAACTGTATATTGAAACAAATAAATATTCTATTTACTGGCAACATATATATATATCCACATGAAAAACTAAGCAAAATTAACATAAAACATATTTTTAAGAGTAAAAAAAACAGCAATAACAAAAAGGAAACTTGTCGTTATTTCAAGTAAAACAAACAACAACAAAAGAGAGATGAAAACACAGTAACTATATTCTATGAAGGGGTAGTGTAAATCATTAGTAATCAAACCGGTAAAATTAAAGAAAGTGTATACATACGCGTTTACTACAGTTTATTCGCCTATATCTATTATAAGTGTTTATATCATCTTGTAGTTTTGAGAGGAGACTTCTCAAGGATAGATCAGTCTGGTCGAACAAAGCATTAAAGCTTGCGGGGGCAGCGACATGCTGTTCAAGGTCGCTAGTCATGAAGAAAGTGAACCACCTAAAAGCGGATGTTTTTAGCCAAGCCTTAACCATTTAACGCTCAGAAAACTATAGTTTTTTTGCGAAACTCATAACTATGTTAGAATGTTTTTAAGATACGGAGGTTGTGGCCTTTTTTGTTTAGGACTCGGTCCTCTCAAAAGCGCCCCAAGCCGTTAGCAACTCAACCGACAGACAACGCAGTCTCAAGGTCAGAAATGGCAGGACGAACCGACGTGCTCGTATGTTTTCTGTGTAATTCCGATCCTGAACTCTTGCTACGGGAGCCCTAGGCACGAGCCGCCGGATGTATGTACGTGTATCCCTGAAAGGAAATACATATAAAAAAGCATTTGTCTTTACTTTGTTTCGCCTCGTTCTGAGCAGTCATTAAAACCACGAATCGTAAAGGTGATGGATCAGTTCAATATAGATAATATGTTATAGGTGTTCAGTTTTAGCGATGTAAGCCCGATTATATATATATATATATATATACAAGTCGTTTTAAGTTTCTGTCACATAATTCTCGAAAACAAAACCTATTTTATCAATGGAATGTGTCGCGATGTCACTCTCCCAGAAATGTGTCATTTAAAGTATTCTTGTCATGACAAGAGGAATACCGTATTACAGCTAGTATCAGAGATGGGTCGTTGTAAACGGATTATATTATTAATATAAGTCTACTGACGTACGGTTTGTAGAAATAACCTGTTTCTTTTAGCGTTTTGCTGAAAATTCTTTATCTTTTTTTGAAAAACAAACAAACATATTACCATATCATTACAGAATTATGCGCATACTATTGTACCTCAGGCAATTACGAAAAAAAATGCAGTTTTTTTATTAAGCCTAAAGAAAGATCATAAAAACGATTTGGTGATGAATATTTATGCAGGGCTTTCTAATAATCAAGTAGTAAGATCATAACAATTAGTAAATATATACTTTAAGATATTATGTTAATCGCCGTACGATGTGAATAAGAGACCCACCACACTGTTGTTCCCTGAGCACGACGAAATATGATCGATATTGGCTACTATGATTTCAAACATACCTGAGGGGGTAAAGAGAGGAGAAGATGTCTTGAATAACCTAAAAATGCGTAATATTTTATCAATTAGTATTTACATCATGTTGTATTACTGCATTGATAAAACGAATCTAAACTAGAATGTTAGGATAATGTCATATCATGTAAAATAAAAATCCTGTACGCTACATACACTAACTAAATGGATCATTCCAACAGCTGCGAGTGTTAGGGTTCTCATTTTTACGCGGGAAAGAGACAGCTGGGAAAGGAACCCCGCCCAGCTAGCTCAAATGCACCAATCAGATATCGATACTCTCAACACTACCTTTCAGGCTCTCATCAGCACTTCCCGCGTGAAGCCCGTCGTGACGTAAAGAGGGTAGTAGCTATGCAGAGAGAAAGATTAAGAGAGTAGAACGGCAGTAGATGCTGTGTTGTAAGCGGTGTGGCTTCGGTGGGGAAAGCAGCAGTTGTAATACATAGTTTAACTTTATTTTTATACTTTATTATTGTGTATCACAATACCATCTTCTGTGATGCCTGCTAGTCTGTTTCCCGAAATGGAGCGTAGTGGCGGTGGTCTTGAAGATCGGAGAGCTCTACAGTTAGCCTTAGAACTGTCAATGCTCGGATTGAACAACGAAAACGATGCTCTTCATCCCAACGATTCCGATCATATCAGAGGCAAAAAAAGTCAAAATACTACAGAATGCGTCCCTGTCCCAAGTTCAGAGCACGTGGCTGAGATTGTTGGTAGACAAGGTATGTGCAATAGTAATTTATTTATAAGTTGTGATAATGGGAGCCAATTTTGATTTGGAAGCTAAATTGTTTTGTTAACAACGCCTGAACAACGTTTTATCTGCAAGACAGTGTTACAACCGCGCCATTTCTTTGTTAAAAGTTCCGTAGCACCACGTGCTCGATACATTTTGTTTAGTTGTACAAGACATATATCAGAAAAACATTGATAAGTTCGTGTTTAGGTTAACAGAAATTGGTGTTACTAATGTATTTCAGTTTTGTTTTGCTTTTGACCTCTGCATATTTAGTGTAGCTTACTTTTTAATGCGTTGAACGTAACTTAAGCCTTAACTGCTTAAGTTAAGGCTGGCGAACAGGACAAAGACTGAAGAATACTTAATATAGGCCTAAATACTACGCGTCTCTCGAAGCTATGGACTAACAAGATAATATAAAAATGTATTTTAACATGATGCATGCAATCTCGCATTCTTTATTATTATTGTAATTTTTTGTCCTTTTCACGTTTCATGCCATGATCAGTCTACAGGTTTTAAGTAAGTTTGAAATGTTATATAATCTATTGTCGTTTAGTTAAATTTAAACAAGATTTTAGACCAATCTCACTTGCTGTTGACCATATAATGTTCTGTGAACACAAGAAAGCTATCAATTATATTTTCAAGTCTATAAAGCGATATTTTTCATCACATACGATAAAATTAGTTAATTATGGTAATTTAATATGCGTGTGTTATTTTTTTTTTATTACTAACCATTACATAGCATTTCCTATCGATCACAATTTGCAGACAAAGAAAAAGTCGAGTATAAATGAAAATGGACAATTAAAAGGGTACTACTTTTTAAAGGGGAATTTTCACGTGAATAGTGATGTACAATAAGGTAATTGTATAAAGTTATCCATTAACAGTTAACACCGGAAATAGTCTTATTTTCATTGTCTTGTGTGCGTCTTTTTTTTTTCTTCTCCCTCCTATTAAGAGATAACTGTAGATGCTCTCATGTTAAATTTTAAAATTTATTTCAGTAATTTTTCCGTAGTTAAAAGATCTGCATAATCAAAAACATCAAAAAATTAACGCCATCTTGATATACAGTTCGTTTTATGAAAACATCCAAGAAGTTAAAGAAACTTGTATGTAAATATTTTAAAAGGTGCAAGTCGTAAAGCAAAAAAATGTACGACATATAGGCTTATTAAAACTTTTCTACTTCAGTTTGTTTAGTAACTAAATAGCTGTTTCTAACCTCGTTACTTTTTATTTCTAAGTAATATAAGTTTTATTTGAAAAATAATAAAAAAGTAAATTTCTTCTTTTAAAACCTAAAATGGTTTAAATCTGTATTAATAACGCACACATTTTTTATTTCTTACTAGGTTGCAAGATAAAAGCTCTCCGGGCAAAAACAAACACTTACATCAAAACTCCTGTTCGTGGAGAAGAGCCCGTTTTTGTAGTTACTGGTAGGAAAGAAGATGTAACTGCTGCCAAAAGAGAAATTGTTTCAGCAGCTGAACATTTTAGCCAGATCCGAGCCCAGCGAAAAAATAACCAAAATGGGGCATTAGCCCCAGGGCCGAACTCCAACATTCCAGGACAGACTACAATCCAAGTTAGAGTGCCCTACAGGGTGGTTGGATTGGTGGTGGGGCCTAAAGGTGCTACCATAAAACGTATTCAGCAACAGACCAATACTTACATTGTGACCCCCAGCCGTGATAAAGAGCCTGTTTTCGAGGTGACTGGACTACCAGAAAATGTGGAAAGTGCTCGAAAGGAAATTGAAGCACACATTGCTGTTCGTACCGGAGGTATGCTTGACTCAAATGATGAGAATTACTCACAGTCTAACGGAGCAGATCCAACTTACTCTGGAAATCTGAATGGCTTTGTTACATCTATGTTCAAATCTGATCTCAATGGATTTGTTCCACCTTCACAAGATAAGACATTGCTCACACAGGATAATACTTTCTCCTCCAGTGGATCAACAAAGCTTACAGACTTTTGCCCTTTTACGGGAGGTTTTTCCAATGGCTTTGGTCTGTATGACACAGATGAGGGCTTAGGAGATTCCCCAACTTTTGACCCCATGATCATTCCACCACCGTCATCGTGGTCTGAGTTAGGGCTGTATCCCAGCTCAAGCTCTGGTTTGCCCCATCGAAGTGGGAGTCTTAGCATCACTGACAGTCTTGTCATGGATCATCCTCCAGCCCGAAGGATTCAGAGTGATCCACTCTCTACCTTGCCCTCTTTTGCATCACTGCCAAATGTTGCCACCAGTGTACCATTTATGAACGGTAGTAGCAGTCTGGCTAGCAGCCCTACTGACTCATTGGGTTCCCTTGGAAAGAACTGTAGACGAGAATGTATCGTATGCTTTGAAAGTGACGTGGTTGCAGCTCTGGTCCCGTGTGGCCATAACTTGTTCTGTCTGGAGTGTGCCAACCGAATATGTAAGAAGACAGAAGCAGAGTGTCCAATATGTCATCAGCAGGTGTCACAAGCAATTCGCATTTACTCCTAGATGCTGAGATCTTTTTTGTCTCTTATTGATCTGGCTCTGAGTAAGCAAGTTCCTTGCTCAAGTCAACTTTGTCATAGATATCATCCTTTCTAACATTCAAATATTTTGTAGTTTAATAAATTCTTGCACACTTAACTCTTCTCTCCATTTATCCTCGATACAAAACTAACGTAGTAGTATTAACGTGAGAGCGTCGTTATTTGTTCTCATGAAATAAAGTATTAACTATGTAATAAAGATTTTATTCTTGATGTAAGATTTTTATTTAAAATGGCTAAATACTTACTGAATAATATTCCTTTGGAATAGATGAGAATATGTAGGTTTTAAATTGTAAAAAGTTTGTCACATCGTTTGGTTGCCAATTAAATATATATATATATATATATATATATCCTAAAAAAGAGGCAATTTAAATATTTTATTCAAAATTTTATAATAGTTTGTTTTAGTGTGAAAGGAACCCAGAAAAAAAAATTATAGATATAGAAATTGAGCTTTATATGTATTTGGCAAGGCCATTCATCTTGCACAACATTAGGGTAAGTTTTCCTATTTTTTTAAATTTTAGTATTTGTATTTTAATATATTTACTAAGTGACCATTCTGTATACCCATGGTAGAAGAAAGTATAAAATATTCTGAACTTCATAAATAAGAGGAAATATTTAACCCATTATTAATGTTTTATATTAATTATTTAATAAAAATGCCTTATTTTTCTTACAAAAAACAATTTCGTTGCCACGGTTATTTTTTAATGTAGTCTTCCATTTATTTATGAGATGTGGCTTTGAAAAAAAAGAAGGTGAGTTAATGCACAAAATATGTCGTAGCATTTTGTTTCAATATCTTGTTAAATAGTTTTTAATTTCATTTTTGTTGTGTGTGTGTGTGTGTTGTAAGGCGCAATAACTTTTTAATAAAAGCCAAGAAATGACCGGCAAGCTACCGGTTTCATGAATATGCAAACTGTTCAGATTATATATGTGTACATGTAAACCTGAGTGTGACCCCCATAAGGTAATCGTTTGTAGAGCTTGGAATATTCTATATTAGCATGTGAACACATGGCAAAATTCAAGAACTGTATATATAAATAATGAGTTTAATTTAGAATAGTGTGAATTTATAGGAATCTCAAAGCATGTGTATGTTCAATATGCTCATGTCATGTAATAGTACTGTATGTATTTCTGTACTGAACAAGGTAAGTTAACCTTATCAACACCTACTTTGATTACATCTCATCTCTATCCACACACACTGAAGAGATAAGAAACTGTTTCTCTGAAGAAGGGTTGTCGTTCTTTTGTGGTTGTTTCAGTGTAACTTAATTGTCTGCAGAGTTCCATGCTGAAATGATTATATTTTATTATTAAAGTTTTGAATGTCTTGAAAACAAAAACTGTATTTTGAAGTTCAAATAAATACCTCTTGGTGTGTAGTACAGTACTTTGTTATTTTTTAAATTATAGAGAAATAAAGCTTAACATTTCAAGGTTATTTTGTGTTACCCTTTTGTTTCATTAAACACTAATAAAGAACTTTGGAAGATGAAGTGCTGCGTATATTAAGTGTTTTCATCAAGTGTTATTGAAGGTTATCTTGGAAATACTCAACGAGTAGTATAAATTACAGAAACCGAGTATAATTCGTACTTTAATACTGAACTTATAACTACTCATTGGCTAGAAGTTTGGGATGCTAATAATGTAAAAATTAGTTAAATACATTCAATTTTTAACGACTAACTACTTTCTAAAAACAAATTAAATTGTTAAACACAACTTTTTAATCATGAGCAGACAACAGTTGTCAATGATGTGATGCTATCCCTCTGTTTATTACAGTTGTCTATGATGTGATGCTATCCGTCTGTTTATTACAGTTGTCAATGATGTGATGCTATCCGTCTGTTTATTACAGTTGTCAATGATGTGATGCTATCCCTCTGTTTATTACAGTTGTCAATGATGTGATGCTATCCCCCTGTTTATTACAGTTGTCTATGATGTGTTGCTATCCCTCTGTTTATTACAGTTGTCTGTGATGTGATGCTATCCCTCTGTTTATTACAGTTTCTATGATGTGACGCTATCCCCTGTTTATTACAGTTGTCTATGATGTGACGCTATCCCCTGTTTATTACAGTTGTCTATGATGTGATGCTATCCCTCTGTTTATTACTATAATGTGTATTAATTCTAATGATGAGTACAGTGTGACAGATCCTGTGGTTATTACTGTCTCATTTCTTTGAATACAATATGGCATAGATCCTGTGCATATTTCTGTGTATCACCTAATATTGATGAGTACAATATGACACGGTTCCTGTGTGTATTTCTACGCTAACCCTCTGTATTTATTACTGTAACGTGTATCAATTCTAATGAGTACTGTGTAACGCATCCTGTGATTATTACTGTTTCATTTCTTTGAATACAATATGACACAGATCCTGTGTGTATTGGTATAATGTGTGTCACCTAGTATTGATGAGTAGAATATGACAGATCCTGTATCTATTTATTTGTGTGTCACCTAGTATTGATGAGTAGAATATGACAGATTCTGTTACTATTTCTTTGTGTGTCAACTAGTGTTGATGAGTACAATATGACACGTTTGAAGTGCCTGTGTTGTAAGTTAGTACTATCACGAGTTGGTTTGAAGTGCCCGTGATGTAAATTAGTACTATCACGAGTTGGTTTGAAGTGCCTGGGATGTTAGTTAGTACTATTACGAGTTGGTTTGAAGTGCCCGGGATGTAAGTTAGTACTATCACGAGTTGGTTTGAAGTGCCCGTGATGTAAGTTAGTACTATTACGAGTTGGTTTGAAGTGCCTGGGATGTAAGTTAGTACTATCACGAGTTGGTTTGAAGTGCCCGTGATGTAAGTTAGTACTATTACGAGTTGGTTTTAAGCGCCCGTGATGTCAGTTAGTACTATTACGAGTTGGTTTGAAGAGCCTGTGACTATATCGTCCCGAACAGGTAAGAAATGCACTTTCCTAGGTGACTACAGATACTATTTTCCCAAGTTAGTAGGGCAGTGAGCTGTACGTTAGTCAGGCTTATGATGTCACCTTGAACCCCACGGTTCAGTTTAAAGCGCCGTCTGACGAGTAGTTAGTGAGTCTAGCCTTTCGCTCACAGAGTGCGATGACTTAGAATAAAAAACCCGATGGGGTCTGAAAGAGATGAATCTTCGTGCATAACCACGGTCATCATTCATTAGTTCAAGAATATTGAAGAACAAACTTATGAACGTTACGCCATAGGCTGAGAGGTCTGGTGCCAAAATGTTTGAGCGGATCATCAGATAGCTTCTAAGAAAACCCGTTTTACCAGAATCGTTTTTCGTGCCTTTTCTTATTTATGTCTCAGTTCATGTGCTTCTCTCTTTCTTTTAGACATTAAATTCAATGGCCTTCCCATATTCAAATCACGTGTCTCTTACGAATAAGTTGGGAGCAGTGAACGATACTCGGTTAACATCTTCCGAGTATTAGAGATAATACATGTGAGAAAGTATTAAAAACGACAAAATACATTAATTTGTCTGCGAATTCAGCGACCTCATAGTTTTTGAACTTGGAGACGCAGCTTAAATATTAACAAAAGAAAATAATTTATATTGTAATTACATCGATAAACGTACGTGCATGTACACTGTGTATAAAATTAATCTTGTTTTGATCAGAAGTTAATTATTTATCAGTTCGAGTTCATTCACAGACGGTCGCTTTTATTGGAATTTCTCAAAAGACTATTATAGCAAGTTTAAATTTCGTTTTTCTTTCTACGATTTAAGCTAGTGTAATACGACATAGTATGTTAAACACAAGCGTTCTATCGAATCGGTTATTATGTTAAAAAACTTACACTGACAGTGAAACTACAGAAACAAAGTGAGGTGTGTAATCAACTGTGAGCTTTATAAAATTTATAACCATCAATTTTATATGATGTGTGTTTAACCAGTAGGACTGGGTCCGTGAGCGACAAACAAATCTCACTATCTTGCCAGACAAGCTGTGGGTGCTCCTTTTCCTCTGGTCTATCAGTTCAGAATCGCGGATGGCTATACGCAAATAGCCCTTTGTGAAAATTCGAAAACAAGCTTTCAATATGATGATGACGAAACGTTGTACATTTGCTGTTATGTTAAACTTATATTAAAGTTTTTCTTCATTACCCATTCAAGCCGTCTTCAACCATTATTAAGCTTTCAGTATATTCTTTCGTCACTACATTCTTGTGAAACTTCAAAGAAAATGAAAGGCTTAAACTCGTTAAAAATATGGAAAAGATTAAGCAAATGTTTATTTATATATACATAATATAAGTCAACGAGCTAAGTAACAGCGTTTCAAATGTGATTGGTTTAGAACAATCTCACTCCGTCAACTGTGATTGGTTTAGAAGAACAATCTGACTCCGGGTTTTTGAAAGTTAATACTGGTTTCAGAAAATATAGTTATAAAGAAATATATAATAACTCGTGCATCAAGTTTTCGCGGTCGTTGCTAAGCAATTTTTAAAGTTTAATGCCAATTTCCAGCAATAGTCGGTTTAACTTTCACGGACTTTACATTTTTGTGAGCAGACCCAAAACTTGAGCACAAATAACCTTTCAAGCTATGACCTTGAAAATCCCCGTCTCCGTGATAATAAACGTAAGCCCGAGGTCGGGTACAAGTAGGTTACGTGGATTACTTCATGCCTAACATCTCGGACTCGCTTTATATTATGGCCCTCTTAGGACAGCTTTGTTCAGCCTTTTCTCCTTGCCAAAGTCATTAGGACACTCACCTTCTAGGTTTGCTTGTGATAATTGGCTCCCACAGTACAGCTTCAACAACCTCATGCTAAAGCATTCCTTCCAACAGACTGATGTACCAACAGGGGGAGCTGTACGTATTTACTAGTATGCATGGCACATTAAATTCAAATTCTTTTAAAACATGCCTTAAAAATAGTTATTCGTGAAACAAGAACTTGTGGCATTGTTGTAACTTGTGGTACTGTTGCTGACGCACTTTTGATTTTTACATATTTAAACAATATCATTTTAGAAAAGCTCTTAGTTCAACTTTTAAATCCTAGGTGAATAATTTAAAAAAATGAAATAATTTTATTTTACGTAGTTATACTACTCCTTATTAACATAGTCTGTTTCTTAGATGTTTTAAAATTCCAAACTATGAGATCCTTCTGGTCATCGTCATTATCCAGGGTTGTAGGAAGATGTAAGGCCATGGCCTGTCCACTTTTTCATAGCATGTATAACTAAATCCTGCTTCTTTTAATTCAGTACATTATGTTGTGTGTATGCAGTATTTGTAGTTAAAATGTGTCGAGATTCAATCTCATAGCATTAAATTGTCAGGAGGAATATGCCCCTAAACCCCCCCTAAAAAAAGCATGCTTTGCATGTTTGTAGTGTGATTTTCACACATCGTGTGTCACATTGTTTAGCTGTGACAATGACCTGACCACTCCAAAACTGCTTCCCACGGCAGTGTTATCATCATAACAAAATATTTTGGTGCGACTGTCCATGGCCTCTCCGTAAAGAACTTCATTGTTAGA